TATCTTACCTCAAGTTGATTTTCTTATATTTCATTCGTCTAGTTCCCTCGGCATCGGATGGGTGACCTTCGTACATTGTACTACAGGATTGCTGCTCCTTTCAAATCTAAATCTACATCCAGAAGAAGTGGGAATGCCCGACTCTCATCTTGTATGCTAATTCAACGTTGTCTAGAAAGAGCCGCAAGAACTCAGTTGATTTATTGTTCTACTGGGCCTCAGCAAAACAGGCGTATGGGAATAACTAATGATGAGTTAGAATCTCGACTGGAGTCTCATCTAATTGACCTTTTTGGTGTTCGTGAAACCAAGCGCTTATTATCTCGCATCCTGCTTGGTGTACCTTATCCTCCATCAGTTTCAATTCCTATTTCATCTAACCATTCTGATGAATTAGAGCAAAGAACACTTTTCTCTTTTGAAAAGAATCACTCCCCTGAATCAATTTCTGCCTTGCCTGTTCATTCTACTCACCACAATTATGTTAAGAACGGAAGGCAAAGTCGAATATCAAACAATTGTGAATCGTTACTGCATCGAGTCCCATCTATCGGAACCGTCTCTTATGGTACTGGCAGCTCCGAAACATCATCTCAAGTTGATAGTGAGCTTACTTGCCAAGGAGGGTAAGCCAATGTGCCATTTCTTAAATCAAAGTATTGATAAGACTAGATTTATACGCTTTAATTTATTGTGCTTGACCCTTGGCTCTCGATGAGGTGAAGTATCTGCCTAATTGCCAACTTGGTGCTAGAAGAACAACTGATCAAGAATTTGCTCGACTTAAACATTAACCTACAGTGATAAGTTAGAAAACTATATAAGCTTAAATTGTTATACAAAGTGATCGTTATGCTACTACTGGGCCTAACTGGTATAAACAAAACTGAATATAAATTCGGATTCGATAGATAATGTATTGTTCGCAGGTGAATTGGGAGCTAGAGAAGGCTAATGCATAAACCTATCTTGTGTTTTCTATTTGAAAAAGCAAGTTACGAGTTGTTACAAATTAATAGTTCTTAGAATAGTTAGGCTCAGTAGAGAATTGGATTTCAGACAGCCAAACATCGATTCTCTTCCAGTGGGTAGTTGAATTGGTAGGACTATGGGGAGCAAGGCAGCAGATGGTGATGCTGGTGGTAAAGAGCTTTTATAGGTCAGGAGTTTCTATCGGGTAATTTTTAACCTACTCAAGTGTCGAAACGTTGGTTTAGTTTCGGAGGGCTGTTGATTTCAGTATAATAGTGGTATAATAGTAGGTTCAAATGCTGGTTACTAAGAAATTAATCTTAACGGATGCTGAAACCATTCCATAATTCATTATTTTTCCGAAAATGACCAAATCTTGAGAACAAATTTATGTTTGAAGTATAACGTTGAGTCTTAATTAACAGTGCTCATTACTCCTAGTCTGATGTCAGAGTAAGAGGAACTGTAATCAAAACGAAGCATCTGGTTTCGATTTATCGGAATAATGACAGGTTCAATGCTATGCCAAGGAATTTATCGATTTGATCGATACAAATATATTTTATTCA